TCACTAGATTTTAGCAAGATTATGATTAAGCTTTAAGCTTTGTACTCCAAAACCAACATGACAACAAAAGGAATGAAAATTTCAGGTTAGCGGACTACCCCATTGTCGAACTTGGCATCTCCAGAAAACGAGCCTCCATCACAATATCTAAGCTTCACACGGTTCCAGTTGTAAAAGTCTGATAAAGAAAACAGAATTTAATGGTTAATTAACAAGAAGAAGACCAGTTCTACACACGGAGATGTTAAAATCATGCCATTTTTTGCCATTAAATTTGTAGCCTGTGACTAAATGTTAGTATTCTGCTTCAAACACACACAGAAATCACTGCCATTTTTTGCAATTGCACTGAGAAGCTTTTTCTTTGTATATGTACACAAGCTATTAAAAAAGTTCATAAATCCATACAAGATTTAGGTGGTAATTAATGTTTTGTATCTTGAACATGAGACAGGACCCAAAGTCAATCATGTGAACAAGCTATTAAGATTTCTCATCTGTGTTTATCTCTTTCTGTGCTGCTTTTTTTGGGTCTGAAACTCACTAACACGTTCTTGGGAGTGATATTGACCCGTGAAGACAATAAAATAGGGTTTTGGTTTTTTTTTTTTTTTCAGAGACAAGAAAAGCAGGAAAGGTTGGAAAAGGAGAGAAACTATCTGGAAGCCTAGAAGCAGTAGCTGTCTGTCGACTGTACTATATATCACGTGAAACAAGACATGAAGAACATGGACATGTCATGTATGTATATGCGAGATTTCTGTGAACGAAATAATGGGCAATTAGATTTTTGATAACAAGGTGATTAATTACCTGGATTAAGAGAGGCATTGTTGCTTAGGATTCCGTTGAAATCCTCCAACTTGTTCATGTAAAGGGTAGATCCCCGCCGCGTTTGGGCTCTCTCCAAGCATGATTGGATATCATTGCACCATCCACCTCCCTATCAAACATCATAATCATTTTTTACTTCCTGTTAACTTTCAGCTTCCTAATTTCACAGTTCTGGATCCCACCAACTATTTTCTTTTCCCTAAAAGCCAATCCAGTGTGTTATCTCATGTCAAAAAAACCTAAACATTAACTTTTTTGGAGAATCTTCTTTTTGAAGATTTTTAAGATTTTCAAGCTTTTATAATTTTTTTTTTCCTCGTATTATTTGCAACTTCTATTCCAACTGGTCACCACTGCCACCATGGTTAAGTTAATGCCTAATTAAGCTGTAAGCCAAAACCAAAACTGATGGGCAACAACAGGGACTGTTAGTTATTACATCAAAGGCTTTGCTTAGGTTGAAAGTTTGGAATCTAGACCAATGATTTTCCCATTTGGACGAGCAATTCTTTTGAGACCATATCGTGGGACGTACTCTTTGGTGCATCTTTTGCAGTTCTTTAACTGCTTTCGGCATGTTCCTTTTCGTAGGGCCATTGAGGTCACGACATGAGCAAAATTTCTCAATAAACGTGGCGGGAGTTATAGATGTGATTATTGTAGCGATCAAAATTGCTGTATTCCTATGAAATGATTTCACAAATTGAGAGTTGATATGTTACTTTCGCACGTTCTACCTTCCAGTTTTCAGCAAGCCCATCAATAGTTTTAACCTGCTATACCAATAATGAATTTCTACCCTCTTTAGCAGAAGACCAGACAAATCCAGGCCATGGATCTGCAGAGTCTCTGAAATGGTGAAGCGAGCTGCAAGTTGCACTGGCAACATGATGCACGAGACCCTAGGCAAACTAAACCCACGTTGTCGTATTGGTTTCCTAAATCTTCCAACCATACAAAACTTAACAAAGGTCAACACATCTTCCCCAAGGTCACTGTACATTCACCGAAGAATACTGCCTACATGGCAAGTCCTCATTGGATACCTTTTGTTGTGTGGTACTGACCCTCTTATAATAAACCAATGAACTTTTATCATGATAGCACCTAACCATAGTTTTTTCATTCAACTATTTTCAAATGAATTTATGCATTGGTTTTTATAATATATTTATGTATCAACTATGACTAAATTATTTTTTCAATTATTTAAAAAAAAATGTTTTTATATTGATATGGTATATTTATTATGTAGAAGAATAAAACCTTTTAAATATCCAATTCTAAAATTTGAATTGGAGAAGAAGGAAAGAAAGACTGAAACTGATTTAATTCCGGATCGCTTAACATGCCATGACCTTGTTAATGACTTTATTATCAACTAAACTAACTAATGAATACTTAATTTATCCTTTTACCATGAGTATTTTAATTACCTCAAATTGCAGAAGCCAGTTGCGTGCACCAGCACCGAATCCTCTGTGCAAATGATACGCTGGCAAACTTCCATCCAAGCAAACTACGAATAACATTCACCAACAAGGAAGAAGAAAACAAGGGTTAATGATAAAATAATATATAGTAATTAACTAATGCTTCATAATTAAAGAATTGATGATGTATCAATAAGACAGTAAGAGATATAGTAAGAACTTACAGCCACCAATTTTGGAAGCATTGGGAACCAGAGTCATCTTAACAAGAAGTCGACTATCTGAGCAAGTGCACCATGACGCCAAATTCAACAATAACAGTAATATGGCTACTGCTAAATCCATCTTGAATGGGAGATAGGGGCGTTAGCTTTGTAGAATTAAGATGGATCTTGAATGACAGCAATGCGTTTTGTACGCTGAAAGGAACTGAAATCAGACGCTTATGACATGAAAGAGAAGGGACATTTAGGGAATCTACAACCGGAGTGGTGTCAGCTCTAACTCATGCATTGCTCATGTTCTTAACCAGACATGGACAATCCAGTCCATGTGACGAGAGCTAGGACTTGGGATCCTATGCAAGGAAGCAAAAAAGAGATAAAGAAGATACTGAAAAGGGAAAGGTTAAATTGTGGCAATGTGTGTCAGCTGTATTCAAGGAGAGGAAGGGAATTTAGTAGTGAAAGATGTTGGCAATCCAAGAAGCGCTGTGACTTGAAGCCTTGAAGTTGCCAAGGTGGTTTTTTCTGTCTTGGAAAGAGATGGCGCCGGAGAGAAGTGACAGGGGAAGGGAAAGCAATGGACCGAACTTGGTATACGGGACCCGTCAAGAAATAGATTAATTATCGTGTTATGATAAGAGTCTTGAAAGGGAAGACAAGCACCAGTCTTTGGTGTGGAAATTGGTGGTGGATGGATTATATATTGGGTTGGTGAAGATAACGTTTTACAAGTCATTGTTTCCTAGCGAGAAAGTTTTGCCTGTGTAGGTATATGTAGGGAAGATGAAGAGGGATTCGTTGTTGAGAATTCTAGCCAACTTGCGACTTGTGAGTGCCTGGCGGTCCCCTTATGGCTACTTGTCCACATGAAGCCGCAGCCTTGTGCGTCTCTCCCCCCCCGTTCCTTCCTTCCTTGCAATGGATGCGTCAACGAATCCTGTATTCCTGGTATTCAACTATTTGATCCAAAACAAAAACTATAACTATAACTTGGTCCCTGATGTTTAAGAAATCAATTAACTGGTCTTTTATAAATTATATATTTAACCGTTATGTTTATGGTTCGGCCCTTTCATCAATTTTATGTTATTTTCAGTCTTTTTAATTAGTTTTTCTGCTTGAGATCAGAAATAGAGAAAGAAAAACGAAGGAAATACGATGAAGAGATTTGGATAGGAAAGAAGATATTTTGGGAGAGGATGGCCAGCGCTAGTAGAGAGATTATTTAATTTTGTTGTGTATTTTAGGGGTTAATTAACTTGGTTCAATCAGCTATAGGGACTATTTATACGAAATTTGGCAAATTGGCATACCAAGTTAAAGGGGGAGGCACTTGCGCGTAGGCAAGGCAACAAGGTTGTGGCTGGTGGAGTTGAAAGCCTTCCTCCAATATTTATGAAATTCAAATATTTATTAAAGACATATTAATATATATGTAGTAAACACATTAATTAACTATACGCATTAATAATGTAGATGTTGGTCTTTTTTAAGAGAAAAATTAAAAAAAAACAAACAGTAATGTGATTATAATCTAAAGAATAAACGTTTGGCATCTCAATGATATTGGAACCTATGAATCAACCTTGTGCGTGCATAGATACTAATAAAAGGGAGGATTTAATTCATGTATCTGGAAAAGTATGGTTATAGTTGTTTTTTATTTAGAAATATATTAAAATAATAATTTTTTATATTTTTAAAATTATTTTTAAAATTAATGCATCAAAATGATCTAAAAATACCAAAAAAAAATATTAAATTAAAGAAAAGAAATTAAAATATTTTTAAAACAAAAAAACAAAGTGTCCAAAGATTTGAATATTAACCATATTTATTTCACACCTGTTTTGATGTTTATTTATCATTTATTGCCATTAAGAGTTGGTAGATACATCTAAAACAAAGCTTAAACAGATGAAACTCCGGTCGCTTTGTTTTGGTCGTGTTCCCTCTCCCCCATTATTAATCTTAAGTAGCCAACTCATTCACGGTTGTTAGATCTGAATCTTATCTCAAACAAGCTTCACCTAAGTTTCTTTAATTCACCCCCTCGTGATTGCAAGTTTGCAACATGTTCGGCTTTGGCAGTTAAACTCAGCGACACATTTACTCACCAGACAAGTTTCATGTGGGGCTGGACGGGGAGTTGATATAATTAAATCTGATATATCAAATTAAAATTTGAGTGAAATCCAGTTTGAGTTAAAAAAAAAATCAAATTAATATTATTTTAATTATTTTTAAAAAAATCAAGCATGGATTAACCCGTGCAGTACATCGCTTAGGCCATGAGCTGGCTGGGTTTTATAAGGATGGTGAGGTTTTTGGGAATGTAGAGCGACTTGTATGGTAGGCTTCTCGGCAGTGGGCTAGTGCTTGGGTCAGGCTTATCAATGGTGGTCTTTTGGGCCACACGAGCATAAAATGGAGGTCTAAAGAGTTTAAGTTGTCTTCAACTATAAACCTCGATGTTTGGCCCATAACATAACAAACAGAAACAGGTGAACCATCCCAGGCAGACCATAGCACAGGCACGTAAGCACGTAGCTAGCAACGAGAGAATTGGTTAGCCAGTAGCAGCACACGCTTCCCTGTATACAAAAACGGTGGCTAGTTGGCAAATCATCGGTACTTTGTTTCTCTTTTGTTGTCCGTTTTCAGGCAGCTCCCAGAGCCAGACAGAAAATGGGCTGATGATAGACTGAGAGAGAGCGCGTGTGTGTTTTCAGCCTCTTCAAAAAGTCCCAGGTCAGCCCTTTCTCTCAGACCCTGATTTCCCATTTTGAAATCTCTTTTCTTTTGGTTTCAGATCTTTAGTTGTAAATTTTTCTTACCTTTTTCATTTTATTTTCATTGTTTTTTGTTCTTTGCTTGTAAGCTCTACATGTTAGTTAGTGGATTTGAGTTAATAGCTTGTAGATTGGTTACCGGGAAAGTTTTGTGTTTTGAATTTGTTCATTTTTTGAGATAATAAAGAAATTTTGAGTCTTTTTGTTTGGTTTCGGAAGGGTTTTTAGAAGGGAAAAAAAATGAAAATTTGAACTTAAATTGGCAGCATAATTGTCACTGGTTCGGTAAAGTTGAGGCTGTTGTTGTCTTGGTTGTTTTGAGAAATGAAATGTGCTTGCTTGATTTTAATTTGGATGGGAATTGTTTCATGTTGGTTGACATTCTAAGCTAGGGAAAACAAAGAAAGTGGGAATCATTCATTACTTGGGTTGCTACGCGTGTTGTATTTAAGTTATGTTCTTTACTTCTGGCCGGGAATGGAAAATATTGAATTTGTTGATATATGCAACAGAAGCTTGAAGTGTTCTGTGTTCACTTATGTTTCTTTTTACAGGACCGCGCTGCTTTGCAGGTTCCAAGACTATCTTTATTAAAGTGTTCATGAGACAAAGGATGCAACTTTGACTGCAAAATTGGTGGCCAGACTTTCTTGGTTTTTTATTAGTAAGAAAGACTGGTTTGAAATAGTTTGGTTCTCTCTCATGGAGACCTTGTGGAAACTTTTGTATCTGCTGGAACCTGCACCTGTTACCCTTATAGTGACAGCAGTAGCTGTAACATTTGGGTCTGCTTTTCGAGCTTTAAATTATGGCAAAGAAATGGAGAGAAACCGTGACTGGTCAGAAGCATCCATTACATTGGATAGGTCACAAGCACTGATGATCCCGATAATGAGTTCTTGCAGTTTGCTGTTGATGTTTTACCTGTTTTCGTCTGTCTCACAGCTCCTTACTGCATTTACAGCCATTGCCTCTGTTTCATCCCTCTTCTTCTCCCTCTTTCCTTTTGCTGCCTATATAAAGTCACGTTGTGGTTTGGCAGACCCGCATGTGTCTCGTTGCTGTTCAAAGTCATTTACACGAATGCAAGGGTTGTTGTTGGTGTCATGCTTTCTAACCGTTTCTGCTTGGCTTGTTTCTGGGCATTGGATACTGAACAATCTGTTGGGTATTTCAATTTGCATTGCATTTGTGAGTCATGTAAGGCTTCCGAACATCAAAATATGTGCAATTCTCCTTGCATGCTTGTTCGTATATGACATTTTCTGGGTATTCTTCTCGGAGAAATTTTTTGGTGTCAATGTCATGGTATCAGTGGCAACGCAACAAGCATCAAATCCTGTTCATACAGTGGTCAATAGTTTGAGTCTTCCAGGTTTGCAATTGATTACAAAGAAGCTTGAGTTGCCAGTGAAAATAGTCTTTCCCAGAAATTTGTTGGGTAGTACAGCTTCAGGAGGAAATGCTACAGATTTCATGATGCTTGGTCTTGGCGACATGGTATGTTAGCATGTTTCTTTTGTTTGTTAGTGGTCTTGCGTAGTATTTATCGAGTCTATAAGACATGCTGCCCCCCCATCCAAAATAGTGATGGTTTGACATCAAAGTTTCTGCTTATAGTTTTCTCAAATGGACTTAGGAAATATTTTGGGGCAACACCGGGGGCATCTGTGTAGTGTTGGCCCCAACAACCTGTCCCCCTCCCCCATCTTTGTTAGGCTATTGTTTTTAAAATATGCTGGATAAGCTGTTCATTGAGCAGTCATGCTAAATATCAGGTGTATCTGTATAGTATTAACTCGAAACCTCTGTTGAGGTGATCTCTGCTACGTAAGCTTTTGTAAAAGATGGTGAGTGAGCAGTTCTTTGTGCAATCATTCTAAATACCAGTTCTCTATAAATTTCCTTGTTGCATCATGCTCTTGGATTTCTCAATCGTTGATATATAGCTTCTAATCCCTTTATTGGATTCGCATGCAGTCTGTAGTCCAGTCATGATAGGTAGACATTTTGCAGTCTGAGTTCAGATTGTATCCATGGGAGCCCATCGTTCCATATCTTCTTACCATGCATGTAGATATAGAATGATGAAGATACAAGATCCTTAGGACCTATTGGTTAAAAAATTTCATAATCATTTTGCCCCTGGCTATACTTTGTTTCTTCTACCTTTCTGATTCAGAGGCCTTCCAAGAACTGATTTTAATGTTGCTCTTGTTCCAAGCTATTCTTTCTGGTAGTAAAAGCTAAGCTTTTATGAATAATGATTTTACTGCCCGCATGCTTGGAACATGAAGTTATCCTATGATACAAGATGATATGCTTTCTTTTCAACTTAATTTTGGTAAAGATATTTGTTAAATTTATTTGCATGCATGCTTGTGCACCAAAAGTTTACTGGATGTTTTTGTACATGGATGATTTTGGCACCTTGTGCTGTTCCAGGGAAAATATTGAAAGATGTCACATTTTATTTCAATAATGTTGTTCTTGCAGGCTATACCTGCCATGCTTCTAGCATTAGTCCTTTGTTTTGACTACCGAAAGAGCAGGGATCCCATGAATCTCTTAGATTTACATTCTTCCAAGGGACATAGATACATATGGTATGCACTTCCTGGATATGCCACAGGATTAGTAACTGCTTTAGCTGCTGGTGTTCTGACTCACTCACCGCAACCTGCTCTTCTCTATCTGGTACTTCTATTGGCAATGTATTTATTTGTTGAATACTGTATTTGGAATATACATGCCTTTTGCATGCCGGATCTTGTTGCTTTTTTTATGTCACAAGAGATTAAATATCGTGCAAAGAACTTCCTAATCTTCTGTACTTGCAACATTCCATTAGTTTACTTTTTGGCTTGCCCCTTGCCCCGTTTCGATATGTATTTTTTACGTGCCAGATTTCTATATATTTCTTGTGGTTTAAAAAAATTTGTATTTATCTGAGTTTTCCTTGCTTGATGATGAATGTAGGTGCCTTCTACACTCGGACCTGTTATCGTTGTCTCTTGGATTAGGAAGGAACTGCCTGAGTTGTGGGAAGGAAGCATGTCTAATGGCAATGACAAAGCACGTCAAATAGAAGTTTGAGCCGAGCTTTGTGGCCTTGACACCACAGAGTTTGCAGGGCCAGTTGGAAGTTGTAAATTATCCTGGGAGTTGAATCCGTTGGAAACTTAAACAAGATAATCAGCAATTGGATGTTTATTTAGTTGTATTTGACTTTTCGGCCAGCCGATTCAGTTGTTAGATATGAAAGGAAGGAAATTTATCCTTTTGATGTCCTTTTCACAAGCAACAGAAAAAAAAGGAAAGGTTTTCAAATGGATTGTGGTTGAGTTAATATATTTGTCTATTTATTTTATAAAAATCTATGTTCCTTTAACCATCTAACCAGACAAGCAAGTTTATATATACATACATATATATATATATGTATATAGTACGATCATTCAAATAAAGATTTATTATGATCTTTAAGGCAATTATATAAAGAAAATGTTATTATTTTCATGTGATTATAGTTAATTAATGAAAATAATATAAAAAATGATAGTAACAAAATATTAAATCAAAGCCAGATTCTTTTCCAACGAGCACCTTTCTTTTGGATGAGTACTTATGCGTCTGATGGAGTGTTTTTCTTGTTAGACAATAAGAGATACTTTCAAGTAATTATACCTTTTACATGATCAAGATGAGTTTAACAAATCTCTAAGATTTTAGGCTAAATTATTAAAAAATGAAGCATTTTTTTAACTACAAAATCAATATTTAAGAATTGGTAGAAATACTTAGTTTTTTTTACTAAAGTAGTTAAAAGTTTTATCAATCATGCATTTGACGAGTTTGAATTTTTGATATTTTTAAATTATTATAAAGATCAATTTATCTCTTTACCCATTTAATTATAACAAAAAACTTAGCTAAAATTACAAAAATATCCCCATAAAAAATAAATTAATTATGGAACTAAGGGTAATTAGGAAAATCTAATGTGCTTTGAATTTTAAAAAATTTTAAATTATTTTTAAAGACCAATTCACCCCTTTATCCATTTTATTATAACAAAAACCCGGTATGAAAATACAAAACAAAACCCAAAAAACTTAATTAATTTTGAAACTAAGGGCAATTTTGTAAAATTACTGTGCAATAAAATGTGAAATTTTGAAAAAAGTCCCTAGAAGCTAGCTATCAATTTTTTTTCCTTTAAAGGACAGTAAGGGTATTTTACTGTTTTTTAAAAAAGAAAAAAGATCCTTGCACTCTTAATCAAAACAAAAATAACTAATGGTATTAAAAAAATTTCTAGGAGAATAAACATCATTAATGCATTGATATTTTATTATGTTATTTTTTTTTTATCTTACTTATAACATAACATAGAATAGGCTAATAAACATTACTTATTAGAATAGTATTTTGATGAAATTTCTGCTAGCTAAAAAAACATCTAGCTAGGATTTGAAAGCATAATAATCTGTTTACCATAACTCAATTAAATTTTTATTTTTTAGAAAAAAGTAAATTACTTAAATGTCCTAGTAAAAAAAAGTGGATTAAGCATGGGAGCTTTTATGTCCCTTCCAACTTTTTTTTATTAAATTTAATTTATTTAATTACCCTTGGGTTCAAAATAATCAAAATTATTTTTCAAAGGTGTTTTGGTTTTGTCATCATTATTTATTTTTATAAATTTCATGTTAACTTTGATATTTTTATATTTTAATAAATGTTTGATATTAAAAAAAATGGATAATATGTGCGAGGTTGTTTTGTTACCAAATATTACCTTTCATATCTCAATACCCCTTTCATGACAGGATAATAAATGCATAAGATGTATCTTCAATTTAGTATTGACTACTATTGTTTTTCCTTATCTTCTCTATCTCTCCCTTAAATTCCACGAGAATCCTTTCAAAATCTCAAATTAAGACATTCAATTTTTTTTTCCTTATCACTTGATCCATTTTTTTTTATTACTATTTATTTTATTTTAAATAATCTATAAAATTAGAATTGTATATTTAATTTTACTCTATTTAATTTTTTTAATCTTTCAAACTTGGTTTGTATTTTATTTGTTGCTGTATGTTTTGTTTGCTGTCATTTTTATTTTATAATTTCATCCTTATTAAGTTTTTTTTTTCATATCAAATTTGATTATCATTATTTTTATTGTTGTTTATTTTATTTTAATAAGTTTTTTCAATTAATATCTTTTCATGATTTCATCTATTAATATTAAATTGTATGAGAATTAAGCTTCTTGATTGAATTATATTTAAGATTTCATGATTGTGAGTTTCATAAATTAAATTAGTTTTAGGAAGTTTACGCTATGTTTGCTTGATTTTTTATTTCCCTTAATTTAAGCTATTTTTTAAAAATCATCTTTTAACATTTATTCAATTGGAATTTGGTTCCATTCTTTTTATTTATTTTATTTTTATAGAATCTATTGTTGGTCTTGAACATGATCCAAGTTATCTAAAATAGTCTTATTTATTGTTTTTTGTTGGTTTCTTCCACTAACATTTTAAATTGATATTTTTTTTCAGATACCACTCATTGATATTTTAAAAAAAATTAAATAAAATTATTTATAAAATTAAAATTCATGTTCAGTTTTACCCCCTCTATTTTTAAAATTTTTCAATTTTAGTCCTTATTAGTTTATTTTTCTATTCATTTTATTTGAGGTAAATTTTTATTTTTCTTAAAATTCTGTCCTATTTAAGTTTTCTTTTTCTTCAAATTTGATCCCTTTTTTTATTACTATTTTTTTTAGTAGGTATTTTAAATTTATATATATTTTTATTTTATTATTTAACATTAAATTAATTAGAATTTAAGCTTGTTAACTAAATCCAAATCCATGATTTAAGAGGTTTAGTGCTTTTGATATTAATTCAGGTTAGAAAGTTTTTCTCAAGTTTGCTTGTTTTATTTTTTCTTTCTTCAAACTCTTGTTTTAAACACTTGACTTTGTTATTTTATTTATTTATTTTTTGTGTGAGTTTTTACTAATTTTGAAAATAACTTGGGTTTTCTTATTTGTTGTTATCTAATGGATATACTTTGGTTTTGTAATTGAATTTCTCAATTCAACTTGAGTATAAGATTTAATAAGTTGCGAGTTTGATACCTCAGTCTAAGCCTCGAAGATTTACTTCTTTTTTTAAGCTAATTTTTTTTATTTCACCGTTCAACATTTTTAATATTAGCGATTAGGCTTTGGTTTTTCTTTATATGCCTTCTAGGTGATGTTTTGTGAATTTAACTTATTTAAGTTGTTCTAAGTCTTTTTATTTTTTATTCTTGGTTGAATTTATTTTTATAATTTCTTATATTGATATATATTTTTTTTTTGTTTCGTCCTTCAAGGTTGAGGTTTTTTGATAGACTTTATAACTTTCTATCTGTCTTTCACAATCCTAGCACTCGGATTACGAGTTTCTCAAGTTAACTCAATTTTTTGTTTGGTTGCTCTTTTTAAATTTAATATTTTTTGTACTTCATACTTCAATATTAAGTTATTTGAAATTGAGTTATATGATGTTTATTAGTATGCTTTATGTTAGATTATTTCATTCACATGATCCAAATAATAGGGTTTGGTTTGTTTGGTTTTTTTCAATATTTTTTTATTTAACTTTTCTTTTAATTTTATTATTTAATATTATATATGTTTGGAATTCTACCTAGTCTCTTTTTTATTTGTTTATTTCAATATCAATATATAACTTATATATCTGACTTGTAGGTTGGTCTAATTGTTTTTTTTTTTACATGTAATTTATTGAAAATTTATTTTTATTTTTAAATTATTTTTTACATGTTTTCTATTAGTTTTTCTTGCATGGATTTATGCTCAATTTTTATTTTTTAATTAAAAGATTTTTAAAAATTTATTGCATGACATGGGTGTTTTTTTTAAATTAATAAAAAAATATTATGGTCCATAACACACCACATAAATATTTATAATTTTAAAAGTGTATTTGAATTATAATGTAAATTATATATTTTAAATTTTATTTTTTATTAAAAATAATTTTTTATATTTTTAATGTAATAATATCAAAAATATTTTTTTAAATTAATGTTTTTAATTTTAATATATTTTTAAATAAAAAAAACTTTAAAGCATGACAGTAAAGGAGTAAAACAATCTCTTCAGTATAAAATAAAAAAAGTAAACGAAAAGCAAACACAAACACTCTTCACTGTCTTCGAAATTGATAGATAGATAAGAAAACATTAAAAAGCTTTCCATTTGCCTCCCCGTCAATATAAACAATCATAACTTCTCCATTATCCCCAATCTCAATTTCTGACTACATAAATCCAAAATCAAACAAAAACCCACCATGGTATCATCCATGGCTGCCACCTGTTCTCCAACCTCTCTACAGCTTCGGTTAGCCATGAATTGCCATAACCGTCAAATACCGCCTCCAACACAAACACGGCGTTGGATGAGGAACAAGGAGGTAGGTAGTGGTAGCTTTCGCTTCCTCTTCCTGCCTCAAAATGAACGGCGTTTTGATGGAGGTTCGTGCGTTGGGTCGAGTTCTGCTGCGGATAATTTTGCTGGATGGTCTGATTCGGATCATGATAGTGATCAGTCTATTGAGAATCAGAGAAAGAAATGGCTTAGAGGTAATGAATTTAATTTTTTTTTATTTTTGGCTTTTTTTTTGAAAAAAAAAGTTAATTTTGAGAAATGGATTATGGGTTTTAATTTTGTTAGCTTGTAATGCAAAATGTAGCTCTCTCAAGTGGGTTAAAGTTAGCCTACTTGGAAAAATTTGTGTTCTTCTGATTTTTTACCTTTCTTATTTAGAATCTGTAATTATCCATGTTTAATTGTAATTGAGAAAAGTTGGCATAAAGGGAGGCTAAATGTTTAGTTTTTGTGATAGTTCTGGGAAATGAATCATGGATATGCTTTTTTTTTTTTTTTTTAAGATTAAAGTGTGAAATTTAGTAGCTCTTTCAAGGGGGCTTTGGTGTATTAGGCAAAGTTTGTATTGGGGTTATATTTTAATTTGTTGGTCTTAGGATCTGTGCTTGCTGCTTTTTAAATATAATAGTGAATGATACCGAGTAAAGCTGAACAAAGCTATTATCTTTGTTGCTGTTGATTCGGTTGGTACTTTCTTTGCATATGAACTCTTTTGTTGGATGATTATTACTGCATTTCCGTGTGAAAGTGAGAATGGTTATAAAGGTTTCATTTATGTGTTTTTAATGGACTGATAACACT